ACCCCCAACTGCCCTCCCCTCCTGGCCTGATGCCCCTAACCGCCTCTGCCTCAGCCCTGCCACCATGGCTTTGTCTGGAAGGACATCCGGAAGGTCTCCCGGTCTAATTAGCATATTACCCTTTTATTAGTATAGAAGTATAGATTATAGCATTAAAGCATCTCATCTTGTATGCTTGTCTTAGTGTAGATGTTGTTGTTTTTTTTTTGTTGTTAATCTTCACCAGGGATATTTTTTCCATTTCTTTTTAGAGAGAATGGAAGGGAGGGAGGGAGGAAGGTAGACAGAGAGAGAGACATTGATGTGAGAGACACATCAATTGGTTGCCTCCTGCTCAAGCCCTGACCAGGGCCTGGGATTGAGCCTATAACCCAGGTATGTGCCCTTGACTGGAAATCAAACCTGAGACCTTTCAGTGCACAGACCACTGAGCAACAACCGGCCAGGGTGTAGATGGTAAACTTTTTTTTTCTCCATTAATTAAGGTATTACATATGTGTCCTTATCCCCCCATTACCTCCCCCCCCCCACTCATGCCCTCACCCCCCTGGTGTCTGTGTCTATTGGTTAGCCTTATATGCATGCATCTAAGTCCTTTGGTTGATCTCTCCACCTTACTCCCACCCTCCCCTACCTTCCCTCTGAGGTTTGACAGATGGTAAACTTTTTAGATGAGGGCATAACATGGTTCACAGTAAGTAGGAGGCTCTCACATATTTGTCAAATTGAAAGGAAAGGGCCCCTCTCGTTCTACCTTAACAAAAACACTATTATTAGGTGTAATTTGGCACCGAAGAATTTAAAAACAAGGCCTGAGTAAAATTTGTGTCCTGCCAAGCCATTAGGATATAGATCTGCTTGCTCCTTTTAGGATATTTAATTTAAGCCAAAACAGGATGAGTTAGGTTTGTGAATCTTACTTATTGCCTCTGAAATAGTAACTGTCCCTTAAAAATAACACCAAGAGCACTAGTTTGTAGAAGTAAACATTTTTCTAAGTAGGTTGTCAAAGAAATCTTAACATTTCTTCATTTCTCTTGGAAGGAGTCTAAAGCTACCTACCTGGAAGACCTCCCACCTCCCCCTGAGTATGAATTGCCTCCATCCAAGTTAGCAGAGGAAGTGGATGATGTTTATCTGATTCGAGCTCAAGGATTACCATGGTCGTGCACTGTCGAAGATGTGCTTAGCTTTTTTTCAGGTATATTTTATGTATGTTTTAAATATGTAATTTTTTCTGAGCAAAAGAGTCCCACAAAATCCAAGTTAAACTGTGCTGTAAACATCTTATTTGATGGTTGAGAATTGTGTCAACTGGTGCATACCAAGTGATACCATGTGTACTCTTTGTTTATATACCAGGTTTAAAGACTGAATGCAACAAAAAATTTAATGTTAAAACAACAAAAAATTAGATGCTAGGACTAAAATTTAATACATAAAGCCAGTTTTCTCTGAAGTTTTGATATGCACAGATCAAAAAGCCAAACCTGTTAGTGGAAATATGTTAGTGGGAACATGGGTTAAGAATAGCTCTTTATGCAAAACATACATTTAAAATACAAGATCACGTAGTATCAAATGGCATAGTTTCCTTAATAACGTGTTTGGAGGGTTACATATCTGTGGTTAGTTTTTTTGTTTCTACATCTGACTGATTTTTAATTTTCCTTTTAAGAGAGTTTTAGAAGATGCTACCTTAAATGTTGTAAAAACAATGTAACATATACCAAGTACCTTAATGTGTATAGCATTGTGTGGTCAAGCATTTTGTAAAGTCATTTACATCTTCCACTTACTCCCATTATAAGAAGTATGCAATAAGGGGATATCTTTTCATAGTAATAAAAAAGGAGAAAAGTTAAATTATGATAGCAAAATTATTCTTATAGGAGATATTTTAGAGTTTTTCTGGTTGTGATTATAACAAAAGAAGACACTTATGCATAAACGTAACCATAGAAGCATTGAGAAGGACATAATACATTTTTTTGTTGAGCCTAGTTTAAATTGCCATTTAATGACCAGGAGATCATAAACTTATGTATGCAGTATAGTTTGCTTATCTTTTTCATGTGGAACTTTTTAGAGATTACCCCCTCATTGGCATTTGGACAGCTTCAGATGGGGCTTGTGTAAGGAATATGGCAGGCATTTTGGTTCTTGTTTTGGTGTGGGAAGATTGCATTCTAGTGACTTGTATAATTGATTTCTGGTTTTAATTGATTTTTTTTTCATATACTTTTAGACTGCAGAATCCGCAATGGTGAGAATGGAATACACTTCCTCTTAAATAGAGATGGGAAACGAAGAGGTGATGCCTTAATTGAAATGGAGTCAGAGCAGGATGTGCAGAAAGCCTTAGAAAAGCACCGCTTGTACATGGGGCAGCGGTATGTGGAAGGTACGTGAAGTCACCGTGTGACTTTTCAGGATCATTACATAAGACTTTATATTTTCCAAGGCAGTTTCATTTGCTCCTTAGCAATAGTGAAATAGTTAGATATTATGAATATACCCTTTTTTAGGGTACCAACATGAAGCACAGGGATCATCTCTGTTTCTTATCTATAAAATGAAGATGTTGACCAAGTTTATCTCACAAATTGTGATGTTTAAATGAATGATGCCTGGCACATATAAATACTCAATAAATGTCATGTTATTTTCTACAAAGAAGTACATAAAGACTTAAAAAATACTAGTTTTAAAATTCTTGATATTTTTTAAAAACGCTTATTCCTTTGTTATGTAAATTTGATGTGTCTTTTGTGCATTTGCTTTGTAGTATATGAGATAAACAATGAAGATGTGGATGCCTTAATGAAGAGCCTGCAGGTTAAATCTTCCCCTGTGGTAAATGATGGTGTGGTTCGCTTGAGAGGACTTCCTTATAGTTGCAGTGAGAAAGACATTATAGACTTCTTTGCAGGTGCTTTTCAGTTTTATCATATTTGGAGCCTCATCCCTTCCCTCTCCCCGCATTGTCTCCTTTTCCTAAGTAACTGCATGCAGTTATATTAGGTTCTTTAGGGGAGAACTCTTCATTTGGATTTCCAGTATTTATGAATTACATAAGTGTTTCTCATAGCAGTGTCCATATTAAGACTAACAATTTATATGAATTAGAATTCTTAGCTGTAAAATATGCATCATTACATTAGTAGTGATATTAGTCTAAATCTCTATTTCTCCTATTACATTTTGGCAAAAAAAACAGAGAGAGAAAGAGAAGTGTGTTTTACATGAACTGCTTGTACCCTAAACATTCTGGAAATATAGATGTGTAGGTGTTACTAGTTTTTGGCTGCATAATAATTTCAATTAGGTATCTAGTTTTTGGACTGGCAAAACAGCTCTCAAATTTCACTAATAAAGTAAAAAAAATTAGTATGTGATTGAATGAGTTAATTTTAAGTATAAAAAGTTCCTGTTAGCAGCACTAATTTGTGATAATTTTTTTGGTGTCCTAGGACTGAATATAGTAGACATTACTTTTGTGATGGACTATAGAGGGAGAAGAAAGACAGGAGAAGCCTATGTGCAGTTTGAAGAACCAGAAATGGCCAACCAAGCCCTATTGAAACACAGGGAAGAAATCGGTAACCGGTGAGTAAGGTAGATACTAATGCTGCAGGAGTATCATGCATTGGGTCATTTTGATGAATGCACTGTAATATGAGTGTCAGGTGATCTAAACAGAAAAGTAGAGTAGTATGATGAGCTTTCAAATGCCTTGCACTTAGATTAACAAATCATTGATGTGATAATTTGCTGTATCTGTTATTTCAATATGCATCTATAAAATATATTTTTTTGCCTTGGCTGGGTGGCTCGGTTGGAGTATCCTTCCGTGTACCAGAAGGTCTCAGGTTCGATTCCCAGTCAGGGCACATGCCCTGGTTATGGGTTCCATCCCTGGTCGGGGCATGTGTGAGAGGCAACTGATAAGATGTCTGTCTCTCTCTCTCTCTCTCTTCTTCCCTCCCTTTCTAAAATCAATTAAAAAATACTTTTCTTACATGACCCCAATATTATCACATCTAACAAAATTACCAACAACTTATCTAATGTGAATCCATAATCACATTATCTTAATTATACCTAATATATCGTTATAGTTGGATTTTTTTGGCACCAAAATCTAGACATGACCTACACTTTATTTGATTGTTCTTAAAGTAGAGCAAATCCCCTTCTTTATTTTTTTATTCCCTCTCCCTTTATAAATGTCATTGACTTTTGAAGAAATTGGGACAGTTGTCCTGTACAGTATCTCATGTTCTATTTTTATCTTATTGCATCCTCATGGTGTCATTTAACTTGTTCCTTTGTATCCTGTATTACTCCCGGAAACTGGAAGCTAGAGTTAAAGTCTTGAATTGGTTCAAGTTAACATTTTGATGTGGATACTCTGTAGATGATTCTGTAGACTGTATATCACATCACCTTAGGTCACAGCGGTTCTCAACCTGTGGGTCGCGACCCCTTTGGCGGTCGAACGACCCTTTCACAGGGGTCGCCTAAGACTATCCTGCATATCAGATATTTACATTACGATTCATAACAGTAGCAACATTATGAAGTAGCAACAAAAATAATTTTATGGTTGGGTCACAACATGAGGAACTGTATTTAAAGGGCCAGAGGGTTGAGAATCACTGCCTTAGGATGCACGGAGTGATTTGTGGCTTCTTTTGTGTTTTAACTTTAATTTTGGAGGAGCACTCAAGCCAATCCAAAGCCATTGTATTTCAGAATTACTTACAGAATTGGTTCAAAGGTCTCTATTAAATTTGTTTCAAGTGAAAAAAGTATATGCAAAGCAACACCCCTCTCCTTTTTCTTTCAGCACTCTTCATATTATAATGTATCTTGGAACATAAAATAACATCAAAGTTATTTTATGTGGGGATGTTAAGGCAATGTAGAACTCTCTATAATAAATTAAGAAGTGGTGCCCACCTAATCTTTATAGGTCTTTACATAAAATGATTTTTACAGTTCAAGCTTTTAATAACCTGATTTGGAAAAGCAGTGTTGAGAAAAAGAAAATTGGATCCAGAAGCTTAGATTTAATAGATACTTTCACTGCCAAGCAGATCAGAATTGACATTTAGTTCACGAATTCTCATTAAATAAACACACAACGAAGTTCTGGAGGAAGTTAGTTCCTCATATACTGTGACAATCACTTATACGAATATGATTAATTTTCACAGAATTGAATTTTAAAGCTTCAATAGATTGTTAACCACCTGTGGAAAACAAAATTCTTCTTACCAGATCAATTCTTTGCATACACACAATTAACTATAGCATAGTTGTTCTCATGAAGCAAAACAAGGTAGAAATGTTGTTCAAATGTGTATGAGGAAAACTTACCTTGGGGAGGATTAAATCAGTGATCTGTTCTGTTGAGAGTACTTTTACATGGGCTAATAATATCTGTTCTTACTATCACCTGTTATCTTTGGACACTTGTGTTTCATAAGCTATTGGAAATACTATATATGCATGTTTATTTTAAATGAGTTCATTGTAAAATTACTTTGCACCATTTGTGATGTTCTCTTTTGCTTTGACATAGATATATAGAGATATTTCCAAGCAGAAGGAATGAAGTTCGAACACATGTTGGTTCTCATAAGGGAAAGAAAATGGCATCTCCTACTGCTAAGTATATAACTGAGCCAGATGTGGTCTTTGAAGAACAGGAAGTAAATGAGGATATTCGACCTATGACAGCTTATGAAAGTGAGAAGGAAATTGGTAAGGATCTGCCTCTTGTTAAGACTCATTGGGTCTATCTCGTATGTCTTGATATTTGTGTGTGTATATATATGTATATATGT